CCCCCCGCGCCGCCCCGGGGGGGCCCCCCCCCCGCCGCTCAGGCGCAGCTGCGGGCGAAGGAGCAGACGCATCAGCAGCCGCCCCAAGGGGCTCGCGGGGGACATCGGGCACGCGGCACCCACGGCCTCGTCTGCCCAGGAGCCTCACCTGGTTCTGGAAACCCATCGCCGGGACGTTGCATCTCACCGCGGCGTCTTCCTCATGGTTGCAGCCCTGCGACTCCGTGTTGAACTTGCAGTCCGTGACCGACTTCTCAAAGCCTGTGCAGTCAATCTCGTTCAGATGAATTGGACCCATACCTTGAAGAAAGAGCAAAAACAAGGAAACGGCCTTTAATTTCTGCCTATACTGCTGTGCATACACTGTGCATACTGGACAAGAGGCGAAGAAATATCTGATAACAGTTTATTAATACCCTGCAGACATCTCATTATCTTTTAGCATTCAAAATGCTGAAAAAAATCCCATGTTTTCTTGCAAAAAATAGAAATTACAAGATTATTAGCGTTATTAACTTTACCATTAAGAAATTCTTTCCAGTAGTCTCTGGGACTCAAACACACCAGCAAGCAAGAAAAAGCCAAGTTTCCACTGTTGCATCATTTACAAACCTCAGCTGCAGGGATTTTCAAATTATGACCTTTTGGCTGGCTCTGTATGGCAGGAATCTGCTCTCGATCAAGGCCCGACATTGAAACGGGACACACGTGTTCAGTGGGACAGCGCAGGGAAACCCACGTGCGGATGCGTACGGCCGAGAGCGGCCTCAAGGCTGGGCACATCTCAAACGCTGGGCACAGCGAGCACGGATGCAGGGACGTGCTGGTCTAGAGAAATGTCCCCCTTTCATTTAGATCCACAACGTGGGTTTCGGTCTGGTGACATTTTCCTTAGGGATTGTGGCCATGGGAGCAAGGCCTGTGGGCCAGGAGGAGGCTTGAGTGGAAGTTTGTTAGGCTGAGGGATTAACAGTTGCCATTTACCAGGGTTTGGCATTGCAACCAGCTGCCAAACACAGGAAATCCAAACCAAAACCAGGCTATAAACTGTCCAAATGGCCCTTCTATTTACTACTTACTACCTAAGCTAAATTAATGTTTTGGACTTAAATTGGAGAGAGTTTGAAAACTGGATGCAGACCCTTTTTTTGCCAGGAACCTTCTAGTAATGCATTACACCACAATGCACATCTAGAAAACTTTTAAATTGGAGAATCTGAGTGCAGAGGACGTGATAGCAAACAAGTAACTGCTCTAACAGCTGTTTGGGGGGAAGGAAGGTTAAACTCATCATCATTAGACAACTTCCAGTGAAGACCGAACATCTGCCCAAGTCATCCTAGTTCAGCCTCAAGCTCCTGGACTCAAGAGACCCAATAAGAGCAGAGAATAAATCCCGGGTCCCCAAACACACAACCCAGTCCCAGCACGTTCGCTGCCCCAAATCACGAAGGGTTTTTCAGAGGGGGACAAGGCACCAAGAGGCCCCGTTGCGGCGCTCACCTTGCCCGAGCCTGGCTCCCGTTATGGCCTCCTTGGCGCTGCCGAAGCCCAGCTCCCGGCACACCACGCTCGCCGACACCAGGTTCCAGTTGTCGTCACATACCGTCCCCCACTCGCCGTTTTTCAGCACCTCGACTCGCCCTTCGCCTGTGTTGGCGCCTCCTTTCAGCCTCACCAGCGGCTGCTGCAGGACGCGGAGGGAAGCGACGTTACCGCTCGGGCACCGGCCTGGAGAGCACGTCCTGCAAACAGGGGTGCTCCAGCCAGGCAAAAACCCCTCTGCCCTCTGCAATCATCACTGGCAGAATGAGTGAAAATGCAGAGCTGGGTGGCAGGTTCAGCTCCATTATTATATTTCTATTTTATTATGATTCTGCTGGTCACTACTGCTTCTCTACAGCTTTTCCCTGGCCGGCGGCCGCAGCTGCATCCAGGCTGTGCTGGGAGCTGTCCCTTGGGAATGGGAACGCAGCACGGCTTGTGCGGCCGCGCGGGGCAGGGACATTCCCTGCCGAAGCTGGAAGCGTGCACAGTTCTGCAGCAGGGTTACGCGAAGGCCGTCCAAAGTCTACACGAAGGCTCAAGGAATTACGTGGCAGCTCGCATGGATCACAAGATGCGTTAGGATTTACAGGACCTTTCGCCTCCGAGACCAAGACCCGGCGAGCTCTCGTGCACAGAAAGGACTGCACTCCAGCAAACAGGACCCCAGTTGAAATCATCTTTGCTGCACGCTAAATCTTAGCATTTTAATGCTAGTACTCAGGCCTCTCTTTGCTAGACTAAGCAAACAGCCTCTTCAGCCTTTCCTGCAGTTTTCCCAGCCTCTTGGGGCATTTCTTTGGGATGTTTCTCTGCAGAATGCACAGAAATAGTAGAAATACCAGCCTCCTTCCATTGCACCGCTGCAGGAGACACAGCCCAGCAGTGTTTAAGTAGCAGCGAAGCCCAGCAGTAGCTGCACGTGCATTCAACGGGCTTGAGCAAAACAGCCCAAATAGAAATGCGACAAACGGATTTTTTTGCCCCAAATCTGGGCTTTGCGTCCTTGCCAGGGCAAGCTCCCCCCTCACCTCCTGCCTGAAGGCTTTTCGGAAGCCGCTGTGGCTGCTGGGGGCGAAGGCCCGGCCGGGGATGCAGCTGACCACGGCCGGCATCCCGTTGTCGCAGGTCGCGTTCTTCTCCGCGTCCACGTTGAGGTGGTTGCCCAGTTTGCAGCTGGAGACGTGGGCCTCGTTGCCGCTGCAGTCCATGGAGTAGGCCCAGTAGTGCTGCTTCCTTCTGCTGGCAAACATCCTTCGGGGAATCAAAGAGAGAAGTGAGCAAAATCCCCCAGAGAGTGGTCAAGAGGGGAGAGCCCGTCCTGTACACAAGCTCTGCTCTTGCCAGCGCCCATCAGCAGCACGAGGGGAGGCTGGGGGGAAGCCCCGGGTCTCCCGATTCCCCAGCGCTGCAGCGTTAAGAACCGTGTGCCCGAAGCCCTTCCCGAGAGCGTGAGCGATTCCCCCGGGATCCGGCTTGGCTGCCGCTTCTGCTTCCTGCTCCCAAGCCGGAGCGCTTGCTTGGAGCTGCTCCAGTGACTAAGGGGGAAGGGGCGCACACGATAAACGGGAAAGAAAATAATCCGACTTCATCGTCAAGCTGCCAGACAACTGCACTGGAGCTAAATTAATCCAAAGGAAACAGAAATGCGTGCCTGGGTGTTGGGGAAGCCTTTCCTCTGCCCTTGTGCTGGCCGAGCCTCGCGCCACGCTCCGGCTCATCCACACTCCTGTGCCTTGCAGCCACAAACTGGTCCTCGATGGAACCAAGTTTAGGGCCAAGTACAACCAGGTCTGAGCTAGAGCTGATTCTGCAGCACGTAATGGGGAGCAAACACCCCCGGGAAGGACGAGGACGCAGCAGGTCCAGCCCTGAGCTCCAGCTCGTGGAGCAGCCAACCTGTCCATCCCGGTGGCAAAATGCTGCCCATTGAATCCCATATCCGTCAAGTTGGAGCTGCCAGGAACTCTCTATCAGTGGAAAGTAACGGGGATGGGAGGAGAGGAATTAAAGATGAACTAAAATGAGTGAGGATGCAGGCAGGAGGAGTCTCAGCCCCCTCTCATGGAGAACGTCGGGTTCTGGGGAGCTGCTCGATCCCTGCAGCGGGGCCTCCTCACACGAGTGTCCGGAGCGCCGGGAGCGCCGCGCGCGGCGGGAAGCGCAGCGGGAAGCGCGGCCTGCGCGGAGCCGCTGCGAGGGGGATGCCTTGCACGAGCAGTGACCTCATCCCGGAACGCTCCGCAGGCATCAGCATCTGGTTGACATTAACAGCCCTGGGTAGGCTAAGAAGAGTCCCAGAAAAGCCCTCCTCCTTTCCCACATGATGTCTCCAGACAGAAATGCAGTAAAACCTTGTTGGATTTTTAACACAAAGTGTGCACCCCCCCTCTCTGAGCTGGGCCTGAGCCAAGAGCAGTTCTGCTCAGAGGCATCCGTCAGAACCTGAGGGCTTTTTGCTGATCAGGACTGATGGATCTTCACCATATCGGCTCTTGGAGAGACACAGCTTAAGCACAGGGCCTTGGAGAAGGGCCTCAAGGTCCAGCTAAGCAGCCTTGCTAGGGTAAATCATTGCACATTTACATTGGGAAAATACATCCATGCCACCCTGGGGAATTCCCTTTGGGCACGTGGACATGCATGCATCCATGCATGCATCCATGCATGCATCGTAGCCGGCGCTAGGGGAAGATGCAGGAGCTGCAGAGTCCGATTGCCCATGGCTGGAGCTGCAGGGAGCCCTAAGGAGGCACCAGGCCCCTGTGTGCCTGGGCAGCCCGGGGAGACCCGTGCACCGAGCGCGGCCGAGCGGGGTTTTGCAGGGGGAATCAGCCAGCAGCGCTTATATAAGAGCAGCTTTGAAGAGCGAACAAGAGCATGGAAACAGCTCTGAGCGGCTGCGTTTCCTAACATAAATCGTGCTGTCAACTGCCGAGTCTAAGTTACGCTCCGGATAAAGCCCTGGCGCGGGGCCAGCAATGAACTAAGTTGTTTTCTTTCGAGCGGGATCCATCTGCAAACCATTTGGTGCCGCAGCGCAGCCCAAGAGCGGGCACCTCTGTGCATGAATCCGCAGCGTGGGGACGGGGAACGCGGCTACGGAAGGGGCACGAGAGCCCACGAGGAGCTACAAGGCTGCCCCTCGGACCGAGTTGTGCTCGGGAGAGGTGCACACACAAGCCCAAACTCTCCTCCCTCCAGTAAAATGACATCCTGTCTCGTTCCGGCCTGGGAAAATATTCCACGTGTTTTCCAGAGCACCGAGGAACGCGGGAGCTCGAGGGCAGCAGTGGGGGAGGCACCGTGACACCGGGGCACCCCGGGGACACCCGGCTTTGGCGCGGACGCCCCGACCCGGTGAGCGCGGTGCTGCCCAAGGGGCCGGCGGCGCCGCTGCCTCTCGGGCTCCGCAGTTTTTCCATCCTCCCTGCACTGCTGTGAGGGACAGGACAATCACCAAGTACCCTTTCACTCGAGGCAGATGGCTCCAGCTGCACAAGTTAATGCTTTTCTTGGAAACACCACAGCTGAGGAGGAAGCAGCAGTATCTACTTTGGCTTCCGAGGGGTAGTTTATTCTGCCTTCTTGCTCTGATGCACGGATGGGAATCTCAGAGCCGGGTTTGCGGGAGATATGCTGCATGGATGGGGCAACACTCCTCTAATGGGCATCCAGGGCAAGCTGTGAGCCTCCCTGGTAGCAATTATTAGGTCAGGGCTCGTCTCCGTGGGATGCCTGAAGACAGAATTCCAGTTCGGTTATTTATTTTATATTCTTTGTGCTGCTAAGTGGCTTTCCGCTATTCCAACCCAAGGACCTCTTCAATTGATCACAATCTCGCTAATGAAAGGAATGAAACAGAGCCAGTTGGTTGCAAGGGAAGCTTTCCAAAATAGCAATTGCAGGGGCCGAAAGGAGCAGGCAGGAAAACCGCAACCCTTCCCTGGAGGATTCAGTTCTCCCCCGACCAGTTGACACTTTTCCACTCCGTAGGTTGCACAGTACAGAAACAAGACAGATTTTAACCTAAACTATTTTGCATCTGCTCTAGGGTGTTGTTTCTAGGGAAACGTGTAGGAAGAAACACGTCTGAGCCGAAGGCTGGTGACAGAAAGCTGAAACAATGACGGCAGAAAGACCAGGGCTCCTGGCTCTTCAGAAACATCAGGAGAGCAGCTTTAACGTGCATGAGCTGCACGAACCCCCAAAAGACCCGGTGTTCTCCCCAGGGAGAAGTTTCCTTCATTTAATGATTCTTTTTCATGTGTTTTCAGAATATATCAGACTGATGCCACAGCTGGCGCTCTGCAGAGAGCTGAGGTAACCACCTAGAATTGCCTGCAGCTCATGGGTTTATGGGCATGGAGGCAGTTTGGGCACATCCATACACCCCGCACACCCCACGGAACCAAAGCCCTCCCTGGTGAAGGAAATGACTATTCACTGCTAGAAAAAAATATATATATATGGGTATATATATATATTTCTCAGGCTGAATGTCCCCATCTCCTACTATAGACCTACCCAATGTTAAAATTGATATTGCACTTATTAAAATGGATACTGTGCCTTCATCCAGAAGGTGAGGATGAAGCCCTTCCCCTGCCTGCACAGGGAAATGCTTGACATTTCAAATATTTACACAGAAGGAAAATGTGATCTGAAGGAATGAAGCTGTTGACGGAGGCTTTTCTACCTTAAGGTCTCCAGGGTCATTTGACAATTTGCATTTTCGAACAAGGCCCCGAGTGTTCAAAGCAACATGCCTTGCACAAAGCCCTGCTCTTACTTGTAGACCTTGGCGTTGTATTTCCTCTCGCTCGGGAAGCCGAACATGCCGCAGACCACGCGGGAGTTTTTCATGGTCCAGTGCTTGTCACAGATCTGCTTCCAGGTGCCCCCTTCCTTCACCTCCACGTAACCTTCGGTGACGGGCACCCGCTTGCGGTAGGTGGCCAGGATGGCGCGGATCCGGATGTCCTCCACCTGGATGTTCATGTTCTGCGAGCAAAGACAGACAGAGGATGGGGCTTGCAAGGGGACCGGGTGACTTTGCTTGGAGATGGGGAGCAGAAATCAGGACACCGGGGTTAGGGCTGGACAGAGAGAGGGAGCAAGAGCAGCTCTTTAGAAAAAGTCCCAGCAGGGAGGTGAGGAAACCCTTCCTCCTGCAACAGACTGTGTTTTTCCTCATTAAAAAAGCAGCATTATTTAACAAGTCACTATGCAACCTATGTCCTTGTTGCTTAAATCCACTGAAAGGGTTTCAGGCCTCGGTCTCAGCTATTAGGGCAGTGAATGAAGAGCAGTTTGGGTCGCTTGGCACCGAAATGGGGCTCGTCTCACCCAGGCATCCCCGGGACCGTTGAATGGATTTCGCATTTGGAGCCTACGTGAGGACGCGGCGCAAACAAACCTTGCAGGGAGCCGAGCCCAGAGCAAAGGCGGACTGGAAAATCTCTGCTGTGGCAAGCAATTACAAAAGAGCTACTGAAAATTTTGTAACTTGCTTCCAAGAGAGCTTTTCTAGGCAAAAATATATAGAGCCACGTGGTTTCCCCGGCAGTTACATCAGAACAGAGGAATTCTCCCCTCTCCTCCCTCAAATTCAATCACTTGGAAAAGGGAAAGAAGCCCAGAGCTTTAAAGACACACGGGCCTCTGCGGAGCGCTCCGAGCGGTGGCAGGGAAGGGTGTTAAACTTTGGGAGGTCACACGGGGATTTGCAGAGCCCTGCAGAGACGTGGCACATCCCGTCCCCAGACACGTCACCGACGCTGCCACAACCCAAGACCCAACTGAAATCCGGTGCAAACTCCAACGGAGCGGTCAGAGCCGGCGCGATCCCGAGGACACTCCGGGCACCGGTGCGGGGCTCCCACGACTCTTCTCTTCCCCAGAAACGCTGACAAAGAAACCCTGCTCCCACCCGGCACTCTGCACGAATCCAACCCTTACGTCCTACTTTTTTGTCTGTATTTGCCAAGAAAAAAAAAATGAGCAAGCTAGCAAGAAATAAGTTATCATTCCGTTCCCTCGAGGGTACTTCAATCTTCAGATAGTTATAGCAGACCAGCACACACTGACATTTTCATGATCTGCCTGAGAACAAAACCAACCCACATCCACTCCCCTTTCTGCTTGCAGAGAAAAGGGCTAGAGCAGAGTTATTGATACAGAAACTCAAGGGTTTGTGCTGAGAAGAAACAGCAAAATGTCTGTGAGAAGAACCCAAAGGACTGTGGACCTTGGCTTTAGAGGGGGTGATTATAGAACAAAGGAGTCAAAAACAGGATAACATAAAAAAAGGATAATGTGGGTTTCCCAAAGAGAAAGGATCCCTCAAAGCTTTCTCACAGTTGCCCTTTGCCGATTGCTGTCACTGCATGGGGGGCTGCTCAATGACACAAATACAGGCAGAAAAGTTTTACCTTCCACAGTGCAGAGTGGCAGGGTAATGATAAAACCAGGCATAAAAATCAGAAATAACAACATTTAATAGCTGAAGCAGACTTTTTGTTTAAATTGCCCTCCCTGTAATTTGTGTGCACATGGAGAGAAATGCATGCAACCAGCCCTCGTGTCAGAAGGAAGAGTTTCCTGCCCAAAAGGCTCTGCTTGCTCTCACTAACTGCACGCAGAAGCAACAGGGCACAGACCCGGGACTCGCTCCTCCATGCAACCAACTGCCCCGTGCAAAAAGCAGCGCTGGGAATTCCCACCCGTGCAGCACGGGGGGAGGATGAACCCCCCAGAGCTGGTGCTCGTGACGGTCCTGCCCTTCCGAGGCAGCTCTGTGCAATTCCCACCCGTTTAGGCCAGAGCTGTGGGGATGTGGGTGCCAGCCACCCCCTTGCTTCTTTCTTTTCTTAAAACTCCAAATCTTGGAGTTCAGCTGCAAGCCTAATTCAGACCTGGATCTCCAACCTCTCCTTTGCGTTTGAAATGATCCCACCCGCATATTTGAGGCTGAATCAGCTCTTGCCTTTATATCCTGCTCTCCAGAAGGCTCTGTGCTCAGGAAGGCTCGTGCTGGCGAGCGGGTCCCGCTCCACCAAAAATACCAAAAATACCTGGTTCCTCTGGCTGCAGCTTTGCTTTCACTGGGGACTTGTGTACGTCCAGCTCAGATTAGCTCCATTGAGGATACAAGCATGCAACAACAAGAAATCCTAAGAATTTTTTCTCCTGCTCAAGTTAAACCTCCTGAGCCCTGAGAGGTGTGAAGAAACCACAAGGCAGGACAGAGAAACAAGCAGGGTATGGGCAGCAGGGAGGAAAACACAGTGGGGCTGCAGAGACATCCACAGCTCCGGCGTCCACATCAACTTGCTGCTCCCCAGAGCCACCTGCCTGCACAGAGCGACACACAAACGAGGCCGAAGCTGAAATAACTTTGTGGTCTGAGCGTGACCAGCCCCTGCTCAGCCCCACACAGCGATCCCAGCCCTGCAAACTCGCAGCCCCGGCTCCTCCGTTGGCTCAGGCCTCTCGCTCGAGTCTCCCTTTCTCCCTTCCCCTCGGCAGCGCTGAGGCCGCCTCACCTCATCTCACTGATGAGGCTGCTGCAGCAAGGGCTGCACTTCTGCATTTGTCCAAGTCCTACCACAGCAGATATGCGATTTTGGTTGGGACTCCCTGCATTATTACTACAATAAAAAATACTAAGAAAATGGAAGAAAAGAAAAAAAAAAAAAGAGTCAAACTGTCCTGGGTTGGGGTGATATTCTTCCCCTTGCTGCTCCCTCCTGCCTCCTCGCATCCAGGACCCACACTGCGTTTCCCTGCTGACGCGCTCCGGAGCCGGACACAAAAGGCCACGGCGAGCCAGCACCATGTCTGGAGTTACGAAACCCATGGATCTCGGCGTCGGAAAGCTGGGGCCTGCCTGGGGACGGCAGAGAGAAAGGGGGTTGGTTTTGAGCTTTCACAAAGGGCTTCCTGGCTCCGGGAGCTTTTGCAGGAGCCTCGGCAGCTTTTGTTTCCACCCTCTGGAGCAGCCGCTTCCCTGTGGCCACGGAGCTGATTGCAAAAACGGACCCAGCTTTCGGAACAGGCCTTCACCTTTCGTCATCTGTTTCGCGTTGATGGATGATGGTGGCCGTGACGGGACCGCTTGTGTCCTCTGAAGAGACTCGCTGTGATCTGGAAACAGCCCCGCGGGGCAGCGAGGCAGAGGGGAGATCCCGTTCCTTGAAATCCGAGGGCTGCTCCGCGTCTGCAGCACCGGCGGGATGCAGCAACGGGGCCTCCCTTTCTGAGGAGGAGCTCCAGAAAAGATGCTCCCTTTAGGATGTGCTCCCGTTAGGACGTGCTCCCTTTAGGACACACACTCGGAGGGGGCATTAGCTAGGAAAGCCCGTGGGACAGAGAGATCCAAGAGCTGTGGCTAAAGATCCCAAGGGACGTTGTGGTACCCTTGGCCACCTGCAAGAAACCTGCACAATACAGTCGGAGCCTCTTTGAGCCTGGCACAACCAGACCCTTTGGGCCATGGGGCTTTGAAGGGAGATTCTTCAGCTCCACACACGCCCCGAAGGGGAAGGACAGGAATAGCCGCCCATCCCGGGATGTTTAGCCAGGCCCCAGTCTGCCCGCAGTCTCCTCTCAGGTACCAGAGCTATTTGGGAACACCAGCTTTGATATATTTAGAGCACGTCCTATTTGAAGCGCGTGTGTGCGCGCACACAGAGGAAGAGGGTGGACAGCAAATATTTTGTGAAGGATGTTTTGTGGGATAAGTTAAAAGACATACCCATCATGCATTTAGCAGAGGAATATGCTAAAAGTAGGAGCTAGTTGCTGTGGCCTCAGCGCTGCTGGCCGAGGCGGCGGCGCAGTCGCAGGTGGGCTCGCGCGGTGTTTGCACAGCGCAAAGTGGCTGCACGCCCTGTTTGAGGAGCAGGGTCTGCATTCCCGCTGCCGGCTCCGCGGACGCTCATTAAATCGTTCCCATCTCGGAGCCGCCGGCATCCGGCAAAGCCTTAGGAAAACACTGGGGACTGTGCACACGTTTCCTCTGCAGCCGCGGCTCCGTGCGGAGGAGCCTGGGGTCAGCGGGAACGGTGTCCAGCAGCTCTGTGGGATCCCACCCTGCGCCTCGTCCCGTGCGCCGCGCTGCATCAGCAGGAGCAGGACTGCAGCTCAGAGGCAGCACGAGCAGCTTCTGCTCCCTCCTTTCATGCATTTGTGTGTGCTCTGAGGTGAGTTAGCTCCCGGTCCTGCACCTTGGCAGCTCCCCTGCTTCATCTGCTGATCAGCTAAGGCATTTATGGGGGCAGGAGCTCCCATGGGTGCCTGCCACGTGCTCATCGGTCTCTGGTTAAAGCAGCAGGTTCCATTTGTCATGCCTCACAGAGCTTGGTATCTTGCAGTTCCATGTACATTTTTAGGAGTCATTGCCTGTCCCTCTCACACTCAACAGTAGGGCCAGCAAGCAGAGAGCTTCCCTCTTCCCAGGTACGCTCCAAGCCCTTCAAAGCAAGGCCCTGCTCTCTCCGCTAGCCCTCTAAAACACCTCTGTGCCATTACAGCCCCCATGCAAACCAAGCAAATACTGCTTTTCTTGCTTAGAAAAGGTGAGAAACCTCTGGTGTTTGCACAGCCCCTGAGCAAAAGGGAATGGGCTAATCCCGCCAGGCAGCGGCCCATGAAGGGGCTGCCCTGCCACGCGCATTCATCTCCCTCCAAGAAATAATCCTCCCCACAAAGCCCAGGGCTAAAAGCCGCGCGGGCTGCAGAAAACATCGGGCAAAAATGATGGGAGTTTCTTTGCCCTTTAGCAAGAGACTGATGGATTTCAGAGCTGCCCTAACCCCCGTCCTGCTAGCAGAGTTAACCTCCTCCTGCCTGATTTCTGTCTTCCCACCACTAAGTCATCAGGCACCCCAGGCTGCAGCCTTTCAACCTGGCACCGTCTGGCGCAGGAGCAAGGGGGTCAAGGCCCCTTCCCATGGGAGCAGGGATCGGAAAGGCACAGGGACAGGAGCAGATGTGACGTAACCCCCAAGCCATGAGCTGTGCCGGGAAGAGGCCTGTCTGAGCACACACGCGTGAGCCAAGCGGTTTATGGTGCTGGAAAAACTTCATCCTATACTGCTTATCTACAGCATTTCCAAACTGGGAAATAGAGGTATGCGCATCGTCCAGTAAAAATAAACTCTGCTCGAGGGGTATCATGTTCCCTTTGACAGAGTGTGAACTCTCTGCCTGTCGGATTTTAGGAAGCAAGGCCAGGCTGAGTGAATGTCAATTTGCACAGCCCCTCGGAGCTGCTGAAATGAAGTCAGATGTTTTCTTATACCTGCTGGCTTTGAGCATTAAATCTTGGCAGCACTCGGCAGGCCCAGAGAATCTAGCACTGAAGGGTCTTTAAGCCACTTTCTAAGTGATGCATTTGAGATGCTCTGCCTGTCCTCAGCAGTAGGAAGGCAGAGAGCTCTCTATTAGGGGAAATCTAGGCGGAATGGCACATCTTGGCAGTGCATTAACCGGGCTGCACGAAGCAGGCGTCGCGCTGGGCGCTGCAGCGGGGATGCGGGACAAGGTGCTGCTCCTGCTGCAGGTTACAGCCCGGCACCCCAGCGTGCTCCCAGGGCAGCACTTGCTGCTGGTGGCCTTGCTGGCTGTAAAATCCATCAGGTCCATTCGGGAATTGTCACTAATCACTGTGGGAATGTGGCTTTAAAAGGTGCAATTTGGTGTATAAGCTTTGTGAATCATTTTAAACCGGGTCTATTCTGAGTAAAGTCTGGGTTTAGAAGTACTGTAGGGGCGGACTGAAATGTCTCCCTTTGGAAATCTCAGTGGGAGATTTGTACTGCTTCAGCTTCGTCAGTTTAATAGCTGAAGCCAGTGGAACTGGTGGAGAAACCTAACCACAGCATTGCTATTCAGTAAAAAATTCCAGGCCACTCAATCCTTGATCTCATTCCAATGAGAAAACATCAGTCGGACAAGCTGTGGGCTACCCAGAAGCTTACAAATCCATGATGTTTCCTCTGGTGAATGCGAAGTATGACATCCACAATTCCCAGGCATGCCGAGAGGGCGAAGGCTTTCAGCTCGCTTTCACACAAGCCTTTTGACCCCCCTGTTTTGATGACCCTCCGAGCAACCCTTCTCATCATCTTTGACCCGAACTATGTCACACCAGCTGCTAATGAGATAAGGCAGGATTAGGAAGAGGAGGAAAGTTGAGCGAAGGGGAGGCTAGAAGCATTTGACAGCTAGCTGTGACCGAAAAATACTCCACAATGGCATTTTAAAAATTTACAGCACCTTTAGCCTTAACCCTGCTGCAATAAAACTAGTAGAAAGAAAGAAGCTTTCAGCTCCTGTTTACCTTCAAGGTACAGAAGAATAAGCTGTTGGGCTCTGTAAAAGTAGAGGCAACCGCATGGTCCTGTCCAAGTGATTCGGAAGCCCCAAACGGCAATGGGGCAGGGAGGGCAATGCCATGGGGATGCTTTCATCCATACCCAGCTCCCAAGAGCTGCCAGGACACGAGGAATACAGCTCATCCCTCACTGTCTCCAGAGCTGCTGGTGACTCATGCTCCTGCCCTGCGAACGGCTGCAATCTCCTGATTCACTTTGCTCTTCGTACACCACGTCTGGACGCCCACACAGCGTCAGCACCAGCTAGCCCTCAATTTCCCAATGTGCTCGATTCATTAGGCAAACTCCGGTGCTGAGCTAACGGAAAAGCAGAGCCCTCCGAAGCGTTCATGATTCATATCTGAAGCATCTCCGAGTTCCGTGTCCCCTGTCTAGACTAAAGCATCGTTTCTTCCAGCCCTCAGCCCTGAGGACTCGCGGTGGCCCCGGGGAAGCCGGCACCTGCCAAAGCCGGTGCTGCTGCTCCGCGATGTCGCCCCGCGGCCGCACAAGGGGAGCATTGACCCAGGCAGGGCTCTTCCCAACGCCTCATCGGGGTCATGAAGGACACGCAAAGATCCTTTACAAGCTGCTGGCTATGGGGTAGCTACTTGAATAATTTTGCTTTCAGGATCCTTTGTATCAGGTCGTGAACAAAGCCAGCGTTCAGCCGTGGAAACCACACTGCGGTGTGCGATACAGCCTGCATTCCCTTGCTGCTTAAAATAAGACTGCTCTGTGGTTAGCGGGTAGGATCTTCTGGTGAAATTTTAACCAAGGGCAACCACTGAATTTGCACAGTGAAACACCATCGCATCCGAAACAAGGGAGATTTTAGCCGAGTCACCACAAATACTTTCCACCTGAAAGCTGAAGGAACAAACACATTTTTTTCCTCTGAAGGCTTCAAGCACAGCGTCTTTCCATCTAGCATTCCCCCTGGATCCCGACTCTGCTGCAATCCAGCAGGTCTGGCTGGAAAGCGACTCCAGCCCCTCCAGCTCCTGCCGTTTCCCCAGGAGGCTGAATCCTCATCCGGCAGTTTGAGCTCCCATCGCGGAGCCTTTCCCCAGTGACCACATTCCCCTTTGTCCTGTTGCAATGACTCATTTCCAGCCTATCCCCCATTCCCTTGGATATTCCCACTGAGGTATCACAGCCATTTCACACCACTCGGCTAAACTCTGCAAAAGTCTCTTTATGTCTTCCCTATAAATCTATCCGTTTCAGCCGTGATTCGCCTCCAAATCCAACCCTAGTTGCTGGCCCAGAACTTCTCAAATTGCTTCCTGCACCCAAGGGAAAGCATCCGGGGAAAGAGAAGGCAGTAATTCTGTACTAGAAAACCAACAAAAACACCCAGGTCTTAGGTCTACGAATGCCAGCTACGTTCTGATTGTCCAAATTCACTCTTCAAAATATTTAACCAGTTTTCAATTCTGCTAATTTGTTGTGAAAAAGTGATGCATTTTCTCCTTACTGATTCCCATGCAATAAAAAAAAAAAAAACCTTTACATTTTTACTAGATAAATAATGCTGTGAAAAACTGAAATTCAGATCCGAAAGTCTCGTCTTTAGCCAGCATCTAAAGGTGTTGTGAGGAGTTTCTTTTAACCACAGTGCACAGTTGAGCTAACTCTCTCGGCTTGCCCGCTCCTGGGTTAGCTGCTTGTGATTTTAACCGCATTTACCTCTATTTGGTTGAGCAGCGAGTTGTCGAACTTGAAGCCGGGGATCCTCTTTTCGCTGCAGACCACCCCGACGTCCTCCGTGTGCTTGCAGTCCGTCACCCCCCAGCCGTTGGACGTGCAGGCTGCCAGGGTGCTCTCCTTGCCGCTGCAGTGCACGTTGTCCATCCAAATTCTCCCTGAAGAGCAAAGAAAGCAAAACGGAGATTCGCAGGGATCCCGATTACGCTGATAACTGGTAGCAAAGCCATGGTGCTGTTGGCCTAATTAATTGCTTCCCTTTGCATCTCTGTAGGGTAACGTGTTTTGGGTGCAGAGGGCTGCCTGGCCTTCAGATCCATCGCTCCAAGAACACTTGGAGCTGTTTCCCTTGGCCGTGGCAGCTCGTACGAGCGATGTTAACACGTGGGGTTGGTTAATCACCCGGACATGGATTAACCTGGCCAGCCCTTCCCGGGCTCCCCAGCCGGCAGGGCAGCAGGAACGGCTGCCAAGGCCGGCTCTGCCGTTGGGGAGGACGCGATTCCCCACGCGGGGAGCACTCGCTCCCGTTAAACCCCGCGCCAGCGTTCCTGATTCGTTTTCAAGCGTCACAGCCTCCAGAAATCTCCTCCTCTACCCCAGGCGCCAAAATCCACAGCCTGGGACAACATTCAAGGTTTCACGTTTCAGTCGAGTCAACGTTAAGGTCTGCTTGCTCTTTTATGGGCAGTTTTATAGGTGTGAGCACTAACGAGCGGTGCTAAGTAACAGAAAAGCAACACATTTACTCCTGCTGTAGTGGAATTAATCAGTCGTGGGTTACATCAGCAGCGCGCCAGTCTAATCTCTGAAGAAAAATTCCCGGTAGGAAAACATTTAACCAACAGCAGATCAAGACAGACAATTAAATGCATCTACTGAGGTCAGGAAGTACATGCTCCCACAGAGCTATTCCACACCAGGCAATATGACTTCAACTATTCAGTGCTACCTGTAGCAAACATTCAGCTTTCCAAGTCTTTGTTCAACACACGTTTGGGCACAGGATGTGCTGAGGTATCGCCTGTGCTCACCCACATGACTGTCACGGACAATTTCACGGGCCAGGAAAGCAAGGACATCCCTGTGGCGTTCCCTTACCTTCTCCTTTGCCGTACTTGGAGCTCGGCAGCCAGGACACGGCCTCCACGTAGCCCAGCTCCCGGCAGACCACGTGCGCCGCGTGGATGGAGAAGTCGTCGTCGCACACCGTGCCCCACTCGCCGCCGTAGAACACCTCCACGCGCCCCTCGTTGTGCTTCCTCTTCTGCGTTCGTACTGGGCAAGGCCCAGCGGGCTCAGGGAGGCCAGGAAGAACAGCGCCATGAAACAGTGGTTGTGGTCAAAACCCGGGGCTCTTTCCATTTCCAGTGCTCACAGTTCTCAGAGCCGAACCCTCTGCTAGCAGCTGGTCAGTGCAGGTAGGTGCTGTGTCCTGCAATGGGAAGAAGGTTTGGGTCAGCCTTGGTAGCGACACGCGCTTCTTACCTCTTGCTTCAGCAGACGATAAAGCTATGGAAGAGACCGCGTCCAATGCTGCCTGTAGAAAGACAAGGCCAAGTAAACTATATTTTGTGGAGTGGAAGAACAAACTAAACAAAAAACAATACCCACAAAAACCATTTGCAAGTTGGGCCAACTTGCCAAACAGTTTTGCCTGGAAAGTATTTCTTTCCAGGGCAAATCTCCACCGGTCACAAGTGCCAGCAGCAGGATTTTCCTGCTCCCCTGAAAATCCAGTAGTCCAGGGCCTCTTTGGCCAACAGAGGTTCCAGTCCTACCAGGACAGGGCTGAACCTCGTTTCTCCCGCTCTGACAAGGGAGCCAAATTCCTTATGTAAACAATGCAAAAGCCAAAGGAAAAGGAAACGTCTTCTAATGTGGCCAGAAACAGGGTAGATGTGGAAGTCCATTGTCCCGGGATGCTGGTGGGTTCCCAGCCCGTGGAGTGGTCAGGTTGCACGTGGTGGGGTGGAGCTGAATAGTTTCCAAATGAAGCAATGCCAGAGCGCAGCGGGAAAAAGCTCCCCGGCTCTTTAAAGCTCTTTAAAAGTCCATTATTTCCTGGCAACCACCAAAGGGGAGGTGGGAAGAGAGATTTGGCTCTGAAAACAAATGTCTAGAAGCAAAAATCCTCCAGTATTTTTGCTAGGTCTTAGCTATCCTGAAGAAGCGGCGAGACGATGACATACACACGTGAAGGCATGTAGTGAAATGCATTGAGCAGCTTTTTAAGGTAGAGAAGAGCTGCATCAAACCCCAGGTGATTCATTTGAAATGCAGGAGACGGCGGGTCAAAGCACAGCTCTGATGTCCATGTGCTGCACGCATGAAACAGAAGCCCGTGCCTTAAAAGTCTATCATTACTATGTCACTTACAGGAAAAGTAAGGTGAGATTCAACGGGAGATCAAACTACGCCAAGGTAGGAAAGAAGAAAAATATGGGCAGAAGTAAAAATAAAAAGGTTCTAAGGAGCCAGGAGGAGCCAAGGACTCTCCCAGCAGTTTCACCAGGTGGAGATTTGGAGGTTTTCATGAAGCACTAAGAAATCCTAGCATGAAAACAAGAGTATTTTTAGAAAATCTGCAGGTCAAAGAGTTGGAGGGAAGAGAGGAAGGAGGTCTGGTTGCTTTCGCTAGGCTGCTCTGTAAAAATTAAAGGCTCCTGAGCAAAGACAAATTCATGCTCATCGCACATACCTGGCTCCAATGCCTACCATCATGGATTCTTTCCCCAAATGCCTTCCAGCAAGTAATTTTTCTCCAAAAATGAAGATGAGGAGTAGCAGGGCCCTGCTTTAGCAGAAAGCTGCACCATCCGGGTTTCCAGATAAACCATTCCAGCTTTCCCAAGGCCCTTGCACACATACAAGAACGCCGTGTCCTGTGTTTACAGATTGCTGGGCCTTTCCAAAGGGTCTGGATGGTCTTGCTGTGCAGCAGGCAGCCCTAGGATGGACATTTCAAGAGGCAAAGCCAGATAATCTGCAGTGAGCAGCCTTGAAGTCTAGATTGGAAGACCTCTAGCTCCCAAGGGATGAGACAGAACATCACCAGAATTAGCAGAATGGGGCCAAATCCCCTCTCTGGTTTTGTTTTGCCTACAATACTCCAACAAGCTCGATAATAAGCTAAACAGGACTACTCTGCAGAAGGAAAGGACCAGCCAATAGTCGGTGACCGGCAGGTCAGCACCCTTTACTCATCCCTCTCGCGCCAAGGCAAACACGGCCCCGCGCTAACGCTGCTGTCCGGGTTAAGAGGGGTCTCCCACCACCCAGGCGAGGAGGAGCTGGAAGCAGCGCAGCTCCAGGGCTGCTGTTTCTCCAGACCAAAGTTCTTGGGTCATTTTACTGAAGGGTTTCAGCCAAAAGACACAAGGATCTGGGGAAACCGTTCAGAGGCAGGATGTAATAGCTACCAGCTGAGCACGGCGCTCCCTGAGGTGCTAATTAATAAAGCAGCCCGACCACTGCGAGATGCCAGAGCCTAAAAAGCAATGGAAAACGCCGGGTCAGGCAGCCCAGGAGCCCCGTGCTCCCAACAGCAGCTTTGCTTTTGATCCCTCAAAGATTGGTGACTTGGAGAGCTGAGCGAGAGCAGGAAAAATTACATTCACTCCAGGGCTTAATGAAGAGTGGGTGAGGGAGGAGAACATTCCCGGAGAGCCCGTTGCTTGGCACGGGGAAGCTGCACTGGCAAGAGGTGTTTTAAGAGCCCATTCGAGCTCTGCCCTGAACGTTCCCCATGGAGAACGACCCTTTCTCTATGTGGTAATAGAGTGTCCTGCCTCTCCCCCTCTGTCAGGATCCACCAGGGATCCCTTAAGCCTCCTAATGGGCCTCCAGAAAAGGGAGTGGAAAAATATCCACGATTCCCCGGATCGTGTCCCCCTGGACATGTTTCTCCCCCAGGTCTCAGAGGGAGCTGCATGTGCTGAGCTGCTAAAACAAATCTAAGCTTATATTTAGAAGGCATTTCATTTATGCCCTTTATTTTAGGGCTCATTCTTCCCCTTGTGCCCTTTCACTAATGGCCTCTGGACTTGCTACTGACGTAAGCCCAGGAGCATATATTGTGGTCGCTCCATTCAAGAGAATCCAGGACAAAACTTTAAAAACTGATTCAGTAAATTCACTTCAAGCCAGGAAAATACTGCAGGTCTCCTGGCTCTGTCCCGTGCCTCAGGCTATAAGATTACTCCCCATCTTTGCATTAACTTGTAATTTAAGGCATGCTCCTGCAAGCTGCTGACTCAGCCCTCTGCTCCAGACGCAGATGGGCTCAAAGGGGAACGTGCAACGATCCAGCTCCAAAATAGCATGGAGCTTTTATCTCTTCAGAGAAGTCACTAGGTGAAACTAATACGGCATCCACCTCCCCGTATCAAAAGCTTGCTCCTACCAGCAAGGATCCCCTTTTTAATTTTACCAAAGCGCCCAGACAAAAGATCAACTCAGACAAGACGCAAAACACCAGCTTTCCGGCTCCCCTCCTTCTCCGGCAACAAAAGGAAAGGCTGGAGCGGTTGGTGTGAGCCCTTTGAGGCCCTGCTCGCCTTGCATGACACGGGGCATCCATCCATCCATCCATCTGTCCATCCGGAGGAGGGAATCATTAGCACTCGGCAGCACTTTCCTGCTTGCTTTCTGTTGCACCCATCTCCTGCAAGAAGCAGGTACCTGCAGGGGATACACAATGCGGAGCATCACAAGCGTTTCCCCTCCAGGCAGGATGGATCCGTGTTGCAAGGGACACGGAACGACGCCTTAAGTTTCAGGAATCAATACTATGGATATTGTCTATTGCTTCATGCGAAGCTACACTTAGGAAAGATATGCTGGGCTCTTCCCACAGGCAAGTGAAACACTACATGCTGACACGTGGAAGATTTCCATGTACAACTCCCACGTAAAACATGGGACTGCTTTGCATGCGGATTCACCAGTTCACACTCGGCCACACGCGGGAGCATTGCCTGGAACAACAGCCTGCCAGGTGAGAACTGGCATTCACCTCTGCAACCCGGAGCTGCAGCATGGTGAAAAATACACTCAGAACAGCTCATTCAGGAGCTGCAAACTTGGAGTCACTGAGGAAGCTGAAACGCTGCTGGGGGCATCCAAACCTTAAACCAAGGCTTGTTCAGTAGGATGTTGTACGGGAGTCAAAGGAAAGAAAACTCCTAGAAAGCTACTACCTTACTGAAATATGTACGACATGGAACAGAAGACGGTTCAGAGCAGTTGCCAGCTGAGATGGAGATAAACGTGTTCTGCTAAACAGAAAGTGCTGTGGAGAGCCAAGAAAAAGGATGCGCGTAGCCCAGGAATTCCTACTGCCTGCCATTACCTGCTGAGGAAACTATAATCAAGAAGAGCACCTCCAAAAAGGCTAAAGATGCTAGTTAGGAAAGGGGGAAAGAAAAGGCGCTTCGGTTTTGTTTTTCAGAACTGCTAAGAACTATTTCAACTGAAGCAACTGACGTTTGCTTGCAGTTCTAGCCCTTCGAGGCACTGATTTACCTTAGAAAGATAAAACTTGCCTATGGATCACATGGACACACGCGGTGTCTTCTCTCCATGTCATAGTTCCAATGCAAATATATTTAATTTTGGCATAGGATCCTAATTTGCCTTATCTCCTCCTGTTGCCCAGCGATGGAGAACGGAGACAAATAGAGAGGTGAATCATGACAACTCTCAGGCTCCTGGCCAGCACCAGCTGGCTTTTGCACAGCCCTTGTGCTGCACTCTTAATAGGAAACAGACTTTATTTCCAAATTTACTTCCAAGACAATTAAGCAGAAAAACAAAAGATTTTTTGGAACTCGGTAGAATTCAGTTCTTGAATTTACAGCTAGTGGATGCAGTTACAATGAACAAAAGCAGCAGTGGCATCTGCAGCTTCAAGACTCGATTCCTCTTCTCCATAAGCACACAAAATCAGATCCCGAGTAAAGACCCTACAGAAAGGCACAAATCCACAGCGACACACACAGATTAATAGCGCTGGAACACACGTGTGTGCAGGCCAGGTTTGGAGAGCACTAGCACAGAGTGGATACCTGCTAAGAAAACCCCCCCTTGCAATACCCCTGCTAGACATAAAGGGTCTTAAAACAGCCTGACCCAGCGGGGTGCAGAGGCAGGATGGGGGTAACCGCTCCTCCAAGTCCTCCTCCAAGTCAACCCATGTCCACATTATCCTCAGTGAAGTCAACTAAATTTGGAGTCAGATTATTGAAAGGAATCTGCAGGACGTTACTAAGCGGGTGCTCTCACATCTCGGCTTAACCTGTAAGGAATAGCACTTTCAGCAATACGCGTGTTTTTTCCATTAAATCACCCGTGGACAAGAACGGCATTGTCCTCTCCTGAGTCATCAAGACTCCCTTCAGTTCTGGTGGTTTATCCAAACTCCTA